GATCCATGGGTGCTAAAAAGTTAATTAGAGAAACATTATGAACAGTTATATGCCTATAAATTTGATAACCAAAATGGACTACTTCTTTCAAAGACTCAGTCTACCAAAACTTCACACAAGGAGAAACAGATAACCTGAATAAGTCTATGTCTATTAAAGAAATTGAATAAATAATTGAAAACCTTCCAAAACAGAAAGCACCAGGCCTAAATGGGTTTACTGTTGAATTCTGCCAAATATTTAGAGAAGAAATTATATTAATTCTGTGTAGTATTTTCCGGAAAATAAAAGCAAATTGAACACTTCCTAACTCATTCTATAAGGCCAGCATTATCCTAATATCAAACCGGAAAAATACATTACAAGAAAGGAAAACTGCAGACAAATATCTCTCATCAGCATAGACACAAAAATCCTCAATAAAATATTAGAAAATCCAAACCAGCAATAAAAAGAAGGAACTATGCATCATGACCAAGTGAGATTTATTCCAAATATGCTAGACTGGTTCAATATTTAATTAGTGCAATCCATCATATCAACAGTATAAAGCAGAAAAATCGTATGATCTTACCAATAGATACAGAAAAACCATTTGACAAAATCCAACACCAATTTAGGATAAAATTCCTTTGTAAACTAGGAATTGAGATGGGCTTCCACAACTTGATGAAGACCATCTGCAGTGCTCACTTCGCAGCACATATACTAAAATTGGAACGATACAAAGAAGATTAGCATGGCCCCTGTGCAAGGATGACACACAAATTCATGAAACAATCTATATTTTTATAGTGATTATAGTTGATAATACTGTATTGTATAATTGAAATTTGCTTTGAGAGTACATCTTAGGTGTTCTCACCAAAAAAAGTAAATATGTGAGGTGATGGATATGTTAATTAACTTGATTGTGGGGATCCTTTCACAATGTATACGTATATCAAGTCATCATGTCGTACACTTTGAATATATTACAATTTTATTTGTCAATTATGCCTCAGTAAAGCTGAGAAAAAAAGAAAATCTACAGCTAACATCATTCTTAATGATGAAAAACGAGAAAAACTTTCCTGCTAAGATCAGGAACAAGGCAAGAATGTTTGCTCTCACCACTCCTATTCAACATCATTGTGGAAGTCACAGCTAATGCAATAAGACAAGTAAGGAAAATAAAACGTGTACGGATTGGAAGGAAGGTATAAAACCGTCTTTGTTCACAGATGATATGATTATCTATGTAGAAAATCTCAATGATGCAAGAAAAACTCTTGCAACTAATAAGCAACGAGAGCAGTGTTGCAGAATACAAGGTTAATATACAAAGTCAATCGCTTTATTATAGACTAGCAATGAACAATTGGAATTGAAACTTAAAACACAATAACATTTACATTAGTGCGAAAGAAAGAGAGAAATACTTAGGTATCTAAATACATATAAGATCTATGTGAGCAAGAATACAAAACTCTGATGAAAGAAATCAACGGAGATCTAAATAGATAGCAAGATATTCTATGTATATGAATAGGAAGACTCAATATTTTGAAGATGGGAGTTCTTCCCAACTTAATGTCTAATGCAATTCCAATCAAAATCTCAGAAGGTTATTTTGTAGATATCAACAGACTGATTCTAAAGTTTGTAGGGAGAGGCAAAATACCCAGAATAGCCAACACAATAATGAAATATAAGAACAAGTCAAAAGATTTACACTACCTTACTTCAAGACTTACTATAAGGCTGTAGTAATCAAGATAGTGAGGTACTGGCATAAGAATAGACAGATCAATGGAGCAGTATAGAGAGCCCAGAAATAGACCGACATAAATATGATCAACTGATGTTTGACAGAAACAAAGGCAAGTCAGTGGGGAAATGATTGTCTTTCCAGCAAATGGTACTGGAACAACTGGATACCCGTATGCCAAAAAAAGAAAATCTAGACCCAGAGCTTAAACTTTTCATAAAAATTAACTCAAAATAGACCATAGAACTAAATGTAAAATGCAGAACTATAAAACTTCAAGAAGGCAAAATAAGAGAACATTTAGATGACTTTAGCTTTGATGAAAAGTTTTCAGATACAGCACCAAGACCATGAGTCATGAATGCAAACATTTACCATGTTGTCAGTGGTTTGGATTTTTAGCCATTGTAATAGGTATGTAGTGGTATCTCATTTACATTTTAATTTGCACTTCTCTGATGACATGATCTTGAGTATTTTTTCACATACTTATTTACCACCTGTATATGTTCTTTGGTAAGTTGTTCAGATCTTTTGTCCATTTTTTGACTGGTTGTTTTCTTATAAAGTTTTAAGCATTCTTTTTATATTTTGGACACTAGTCCTTTATCAGATACGTATTCGTAAAGATTTTCTTCCAGTTTGTGGTATTTTATTTTTCTGAACAATGTCTTATACAGAGCAGAAGTTTTAATTTTAAAGAAGTCCAATTTACTGATTTTTTCTTTCATGATTCATGATCTTGGTATTGTATCTAAAACTTTTCACCAAACCCAGAGTCCTCTAAATGTTCTCCTATTTTGCCTTCTAGGAGTTCTAGAGTTGTACATTTTACATTTAGTTCTTTGATCTATTTTGAGTTAATTTTTAAAACTTCTGCTCTGTATAAGACAGTTCAGGAAAAAAAAAATAAAGTAGCACAAACTGGGAGACAATCTTTGCAAACACATATCTGGTAAAGGACTGGTGTCCAACATATGAAAAGAATGCTTAAAACTTAATAAGAAAACAAACAACCCAATTAAAAAATGGACAAAAGATCCGAACAACTTACCAAAGAACATATACAGATGGCAAAAAAGTATGTGAAAAAATACTCAAGATCATATGTCATCAGAGAAATGCAAATTAAAATGTAAATGAGATACCACCATATACCTATTACAATGGCTAAAAATCCAAACCACTGGCAACAAGTGCTGATGAGGATGAGGAGAAATAGGAACTCTCATCCATTGCTGGTGGGAATGCAAAAGGGTATAGCCAACTTTGGAAGACAGTTTGGCAGTTTCTTACAAATTAAACATACACTTACCATAATATCCAGCGGTTGTGCTACTTGTGTATACGTGAATAAGTTGAAAACCTACGTCCATACAAAAACTTGCACAGTGATGCTTATAAGAGCTTTATTCATAATTGCTAATGCTTAGAAAAAACCAAGGTGTTCTTCATGCGTGAAAGGATTAACAAACCATGATAGATCCACACAAGGGAATGTTATTCAGTGATAGAAAGAAATGAGCTATCGAGCCATGAAAAGATATCGAGGAAACTTAAATGTGAAAAGTGAAATAAACTAATATAAAAAGGCTACATACTATATGATTCCAACTATATGACATTCTGGAAAAGGCAAAACTATGGAGATAGTAAAAAGATCAGTGGCTGCCAGAAGTTTGAGGCAGGGTGGGAAACGGGGAGGAAAAGACGAGGATGTGGAGCACAGGGCATTTTAGAGCAGTGAGGCTGTTCTGTACAATACTATAATGGTGGATACACATCATTATACGTTTGTCAAAACCCAGAGAATGTACAAGAGAAAGAGTGAGCCCTAATGTAAACTATGGGCTTACATTGTTGCATCAATATTGGCTTATTAATAAAATGTACCACACTAATGCAAGGTGTTAGCAAAAGGCAAATTGTGTGTGGCGTGGCATGTGAGGGGGTATATGGAACTCTGTGTACTTCCCTCTCAACTTCCTTTAAACTTAAAACTGGTCTAAAAAATGAAATCTATTAATTTTTTTAAAATAGATACAAGATCAAATAATTCCTTAGAAGAATCCTTTAGAATCTCATCTCTATTTAGGATCTATGAGGACTACAACCAGGCTTTATTCATTTATATCTTTATTTACCACCCATTTGTATTTATCAATAATCCATTTGTTGAAATAATCTTTATAAACATGAAAAGGCAAAAAGCCACACCATTTGTTGGTGTGAATGTGATCACCTAACTTCCTTTTGCAATTTACTCTGGCCACTTCTGCTTTCAACTCTGTCCAAGGGAATAATGCATGAGTCTTCCTTGCATTGAAGAATTAAATGCTGGGGGAGATAAAGGTAACTAACACATATGCCAATTCATCGGAGGGTACTCAATTTACCTGACAACAAGGTCTTGAAAGGGAAGGCTTCATAAAAGAAGCTTCTGGAACTATTGACACAATTAATGATTTAAAAACATATATCTCAGTGACAATAATCAAGGTCATAGAAAAAAATTATATTTTTAATTAGAAAATATTTTAATAGCTTCAATTTAGAACTACAAATAAATATTTAACCAAGAAAGTGTTCAAATATATATATATATATTTTTTTCATTCTCCCTCAGTAAAAGCCATGAAGGGAATAGTAGCCATGATGAATTTTGATGATATCTGCAGAAAAAAAATGCAGTTATGTTTAAATGAAGAGATCTTTCACAAATGCTGTTAAGGAGAATAGAAGTTATCCATTGCTTGGAAAAAATAATGTGGTGACTTTCCGAATTACATTTCACTTTCCACTTATTGCCATTCACTACTACTTTGTTCAGTGTGGGAATCAGAGTAACTAAAAATGAGATACAATATCATTCAGCCTCCAATACCCAGCATACTTGGTCTACATACAGCATACAAAATATTTTATTTACTTGAAACTGACAGACAGCTTTAAGCAAATTAGGAGAAAAGGACTACGCCTTCAGAGTCAACGCAAAACTTTGATCACTTTATGCACGAGTCACATACCCAGGTGAGTCGTGTGAATCACAGAATCATAGTGACACTCTTTTCTTTGGTTCAAAAGAATTAAATTTTATTAATATACACTCACAAAAAAGAACATGAGTTGTGTTTAATTGTGTGTGTGTGTTTGGGGAAAAAAATGAAATTTTTACATAGTTTAAATACATTCTGCCTTATGCTATAAAACATTTCATTGCACTGAAAATGTTATATTCATCTGTTTCAAGGTAGCGGCAGGCATTTCCTCTACGTCAACTCATCTGGCCCCAAAGAAGGATTCACAGCAAGAGTCACTACTTCCCAATCCTTCCCAGCAAGCCTTGGAATGTGTACTGTCCGCTTCTGGTTCTACATGGTCGATCCCAGGAGTTTGGGGATATTAAAGGTACAAAAGGAAAACAGCTTTGTATTTCACTGAAATATTCACAGCATGGGCTTAAACTTTTTTTTTTTTTTTTTGGTAGTCGCGCAACACCAATGCTGATTCCATTAATTTCTCATTCCTTTCTGGGGCAATGGGACTTTGGCAAGCAGCACTGTCATTCATCTTAATCTCATTCAAGATTTATCTCATTCATCCTGCCACCTGAACTCAATTATGGCACATGCTATTTAAAAGATTATCTAGAGAAAAAAGAGTAGGGGCAGATTCCATGTGCACCTTCTAATAACAACTTAGATGGGGCAATGAAGAAATGTGATGGGAGGCATAATGATGAAGACAGTTTTATTCCCCAAAGTGAAGGCAAAGCAAATTTAAGATTGTAGGTATATATCAGCTCACTCTAAAAGCAACATGCCTATTCCATTTTTAACTAATTTAAGACAAGAATCTGCACCAACCCAAATGTCTTTAAAGAAACAAGTTGGTGCATTTATACTTCTCATTGTATGAAAGGTCAATGAGCTTTTCAACTTTCATGAACCCATTTTGAAATCTTGATTTCTAATTAGAGGATTGGATATCAGAACACAACTCCTAATGTTATTGCCTTGAAATTGTACAATCACTTGTGGTCTGAACAAATGCAATTGGAATTTTTTACTTTATATAAACATTGTCCCTTGTAAACAATAACAGCTATTATTGAGTGATTCTTATCTTTCCAGCCATGGATTATAAACTTTGTATGTGTTATCAGTTTTAATTCTCTCATTTACCTGATGGCCTGATGGGTTAGTATATTTTTCTCAACTTTGCAATAAAGAAACTGAGACTCAAAGTGGCTTAGTAAGATTTCCATGATGACACCATTAGCAAAAAATCTGAGTTCAAAAATCTCCTATCCTTTACCCAGCATTCTTTGTCAGATTTTCTGCAGTTCACCAAAGAAGCCTAAGGAGAACCATGGGGAAAGGAGAGAAAGAAAAAGGCCTTATCAATTCTAGCCATTGATAGAAAAGAGAGCTCTCATCAAGTAAAAATATAAATATGTAAAGAAAATCGAGAATTTATGCTGATTCTACATGAAAGTCTGTTTGCCTAAAGAAAAGCCAGTAAAAACAACAGAGAAAGAGACTCATTAATAGATTAGAAACGTGTAAGTAAATGAAGATCATGTGAAAATTTTGGATTTTTTTTTCATTATTTTTACATATAGTATGTGAATATTCAGTAGATAAGCCTATTGCTTACGTTAACTTTTATCCAGGGTATTTATAACCACTGACCTTAAAAAGACTCCACAACGCATTATTTCTACTGATGTTTTTAAACGTAGATTGCTGCAATTGAAGAGGACATTAGTCAGTGGTTATTTGTTACTCATGGAAGCAAATACCAATGGAAAGGCCAACGGACCTTTCAACAGAATGCAAGCAGATTTCAGTCGCTTTCTAACGAAATGATTCTTTCTTAATTCAAAAGGAACATCCATATATCCTTTAGCTATTCACCAGCTGGTCAGTCAGAGCTAGAGACTGAATGTTTTTGTCACCCCAAATTTGTATGTTAGATCCTAACTAAGACAGTCAGCTGCTTTGGTTACCCAGTTAAATGGCCCACTGCTTTTAGCCATGTTTCTGTAAGCAGCCTTTGAAACAGAAATATTGGCCTCGAGTCTTGATTTCTGATAACCTTACTTTTGGTGATTACTGGTTTTTCTAACTAGATGGGAGCAGTCTAGTGTAGCAATGCTTTTACACTCTAGGTAGCCTTCAGAGAGGTCTACTGGGAAGAATGGTGGAGGGGAGTTGGTGCTGAACCTGATACGTATATTTTTGTAGAGGAATTGCCCTCCCCTACTGCAAACTGTCTTGGTAGGTTTCGCTGTCACCATGGCTTTCTTTCACATCCCCCACAGGTGGCCCAAGCAGAGCCAATCATAGTCTTCTCTAGCATTTGATGCCGACCATGGGAGGACTTCTCTTTCTTCTGTATTACAAGTTGTAAGGAGGCAAGCTAGATTTGGGGCTTTTGGAGGCCACCTTTCCCAACATGGGGAGAGAGATTATCTGAGAAGGAAGCTCACACACAGAGGGCCTCAGAACTAAAGAAAGAGGAAGAAACAGAATGGGGCCTGCTCTGTTTAAATCCTGGATCCCACTTTGCCTAAGCCAATAAAATTCTCTTTTTGTCATTTGCTACTGAAAAAGTCCTAATTTTTACAGGAACCCGGGAGAAAACTGTTTTCATGATGTATCCTGTGTCACTGACGGATCACAGTAACGGGGACAAGTCTCACTTTCTCAACTATTGCTCTGGAAAATCTTGAGTTATTTCCAGACTGAAAAGCTTCCTGAGTGTGCAATATTTTTATATGTGAATGAAGCAATGAAGTGGAAACCCATTCTCCCTAGCTTTTAAATAGCCTTTGAATGGAGGCTTTCCAGCTTCATGCTATTCTTTCCCATGCAACTTTTTTCTTTCTTATAATTTCTAATTTGGGCATAACAATGCCACATTTTAAAACATCTTCTAGGGCAAGAATTTCCAACTGATGTGTTGCAGTTTAAAGGATTGTCTATAGTTATCACATGGGCAAGTTTGGTAGACAGACCACTCCTTATGAGAGGTCTGAAAACTCCTATTTGTGCACTTTTTTTCTAAAGTAACTGACATGAAAAGTCCAACTAATATCATCTGGATTTGTGGTGAGGAAGAATCTGTTACTTTTTACATTAAAAAGAGATTTTAAAAGAATAAAATAAATGATAATATCCACTGGTGGTATAGGTGTGAAGAGCTAGATACTCATTGCTATCAATATGCAATTATGAAGAGCATTTTGGCAATTAAAAGCTTTATAATGTTTCTATTATTTACCAAAACGTTCCACTTCTAGAAATATATTATAAGGAAGTAAAGATAGATATGCACAATGTTTTATTTATAAGGTTTTTCATCTCATTATTGTTTATAATAATAAATACTTGAAACCATCTGAATGTCAAATATTAGGAATTGGTGAAATATAGTACATTCACTCTTATAATGAAACACTATGGAAAAATTAATCCTGTGAATGAATAATGAGTGATAAAGAGAAGTGTTTATGATTCATTCATAACCAAAGTAGATATTAAGAAATATGTATTTTAGAATGCTATTTTAAAAATATATCCAATTTTGTGTGTATTAATGTACCTATATCTATTTCTTAATCTATAGAAACATCTATATCTGTGTATATATGTATTCATATATATGAGAAAAGAAATATGTGGATGACTACACGCTAAAATGATTAGAGTAATTATCTCCAGATGGTGAGATGAAAATTTCTTTTGTTACTTTTTACTAGTATTTATTTTATAATTTTTCTACATTAAGCATGCATTACATTTCTAAGAAGAAAAATATGTATTTCTAAAGGATCTTCTTATTTGAACAGGTTGAGAGATACTGCTCTAGGGTGTGCCATAAACAGGTGATTTCTTGAGTTAGTAAACAGCAAATGTAGTTCTGGAGCACACGGTAGATTATGATTGTGCTAATCTGAAACTCTTTCTTATATTGATTACATAAATTCTTTAGAAAGGATTTGGCAAAGAAAATACCTAAGGTGAAATTTCATAGTAGAGGGTCTAGAAGGCAATAAAAATAGCAAGGCATTCCAAAGAGATTTCAGATTGTAGATTGTGGTAGTATGCTTCCTTGTCAGCACAAATTTTATGAAATTGTATTCAGTACTATGCATTCCCTCCCCTTCTGTGCTCTGTTCTGTATCCCAGAGAACTACACTTCCCAGGCTCCATTGCTCTCTGGCTTCCTGGATAGGGTTGGCCAATGGAAGGCATTGACCAAAGACCTGAGGACAAGAAAAGGAAACAAGCCTTCCTCTTCTCTCTCTCTCTCTCTTTTTGCACTGAGCTTCTAACTGCATCTTATCTGTGACTCAGCATGCCCCAGATAAGTGGGTCCTCCACCAAGCATGCCTGCCAAACTCCGTCTTCCAGCAACTCAACATCTGTGACTACCTCTGTTTGATTCTCTAGTTTGAGGGGTGAAAACATCTTCCTGCACATGCTAATCTGTAGGATGCTTCACCATTTCCTTGGTGATTTCTCGTCTCTTCCATAAACTTTGTAACCAATTCCCTATATAAAAGTTTCTCTCTTTGAAATATGTTAGAATAGTTTGTATTTTCTAGCTTGACCCTCTCTAAGTGCTCATACCCCAAAAAGCACAAATCTTTTGAAGATGTTAACTTGTAAAACAATAAAAAATTTTGGGTGAGCACCAGTCAGTTTAAATTTCTCCTCCTTGTATAGACTTATTAAAAACTTATCCTCTACTTAAGAAAGACCAAACAAATTTTTAAAAAACACAAAATGAAAACTTCGATTTATGATATAATACTCTAGAGCAATTAAAACAGTTTTCTGTGATGAATAATTTACTCATAGTCCACTGAGAGTTATTTTATATTGAATGGTAAAGAACTCTCTGAGAAAGAGGGTTTGAAAAACAAGAGGGAGCCAGCCTTGTGAATATCTGGAGTAAGAAAGTTCTCAGTAGAGGGAGCAAGCTAATGAAAAGTCTCAAAGGTAGGGCTTTAGTATATGAATTTTGGAGGAACACATTCAGTCCACAGCAGAGAGTGTTAAAGTGTGGAATAACATAACCTCATCTGAAAATTTAAAAGATCTTTCTGGCTACTATATGGAAAAGGAATAGGGGCTAGTGGGTAGGAGGAGGCCAAAAGTAGAAGTAAAACAGGGAGACAAGTTAGAAGATGGTTTCCAGGAGTCCAGAGCAGAGAAGATATGGCTTGGATTAAAGTGAAGTCTAAGGGGGGCTGGCCTTGTGGCGTAGTGGTTAAGTTCACTTACTCTGCTTGGGTGGCCCAGGGTTCACTGGTTCGAATCCTGGGCACAGACCTACACACGGCTCATCAAGCCATGCTGTGGCGGCAACCCACAAAGAAGAACTAGAAGGACTTA